GGTTCGAGTATATTATTTTAATGGGTTCGAGTAGGTTATTTTAATCGGTTTGAGTATATTATTTTACTCAATTCGAATACACTATTATTTTTGGCTCGAATAGATTATTTTATTCAGCTCAAATAGTCTATTTCAGGAGTCTTAAAAACGTTTAAAATAATTATCTAGGGTCCGTAAAGCCTATCATGACTTGCTTTTGGTCAAGCAATTACTTTGTAATTGTTGATGTAACCACTTTATATTACGTAAAAATGATTTAAATACTAAGAATGTTAATAGAGAGACTCTTGAACTTAGGAAAGAGGATTGATCGAGTCTTATAACATACAAATTATGTTGGAGTGGGTGTGAGCACACACATATGAATTAAGCATTGAGGACATTAACAGATACATGTAAAATGCTTGAATGTAATTATAATTATATGTAAGGTAGGGTCAGAAACATCTACATCAAGGAACGTCTCGCTAAACGACCCATCGGAGAGAATCGACATCGAGGTAGATTTCCACTCAAGGTAAGTGCACCACCCTACAACTTTCCATAATAATTTATTAGACTTTTATACTTGTCTTTTTGCTATGGTTATTGTTGGGGATAATTAATTGTGCGGAGATATACGGTAGTGTTATAGGAGCCATCTAAGTGACGAGAATTGACTACATGATTTGAGTCGTCCAAGCGCGAGAATTATTTATGTGGCATGATCCGTCTAAGTGATGAGAATTATTTATGTGGCATGATCCATCTAAGTGATGAAAATTATTTATGTGTTTTGAGCCGTCTAGGTGACGAGAATTATTTATGTGGTTTGAGTCGTCTAAGTGGTGAGAATTATTTATGTGGCTTGAGTCATCTAGGTGATGAGAATTATTTATGTGGCTTGAGTAGTCTAAGTGATGAGAATTATTTGTGTGGCTTGAATTTCCTGTGTGGTCGGAGGTGTGTGCGTGAGGGGTATTCGTTGTGTTGTGTGGCATAATTTAATTATATGAAGGTAATTATTTGTGCGGTATATTTTGTCTATGTGGTATATACTAGTTATGTCTATGTGATCTATACGAACAATGTCTATGTAGTGAAGTGTAATTTGAATGCTGGTTTTGCTGCATTGTTAAGGTTGTTCCTAAATAAATAAAGTTTTTCTTTATCTCCAGTTGTGCTCATGATTATTGATTGCATCGTTGCTTTCACTAATGGTCTCAATAACTTTTCAAGAAAAACTATAAAGACGTGAGCAGTCCATTGCCGAGTCTAGATGGTCGATTGGGATGTCATCGTAGGGGTCTTGCCTTTATGTCCTCTAAACATAAATTGTACATGTAGGTCATAATTTTGTGATTATTATCACTGTTTGTAAATAAGTAGGGCTCATGGCGAACCATTTCACTAAGGGGTTTGACGAATTTTTATGTATGTGCTTGTATTTATGTATATAAAAGAGGTAGGCGTATGTGGTTGCTGTTGAGCTCTCTTTATTGTTTATGACAGATATTGTACCCCAAGTTGAGCGTTACAGTTTAACTCGTTTATGACTCAAAAATAAATCTAGTCCCCAACCTTCTAATATTTGGATTTGATTCGATGAGTTGTAGCGTCTCCTAGGCATATCTATGTTGATTGCGTTAATTTGGTTCAATTAACATAATTGATTACATTTGGTCTAAAGTTGGGGGTGGTGTTAATATAACTAATGAAATGTATTAGAAAAAAAATGGATGAGAGGAACTCTTTATTGGTAGAGAAAACAATAAGCTCATACGAAATAAAAGAGATATATTATAGAAGACAAAAAGTTAAAGATTCATTAAAACAAAATAACATACATTATTGCAAGGTGTTTTCCAACAATGATTTGAGATAGCCTATCTCAGAAAGAGCTTGAATGAGATTCTTGAAAGAAGGAACAATGTCAAAAAGGGACAACGTGTGCACCTGGCTTATCTCCTCCAACGCTTAAGTTAATCGATGCTCAAAGTTTAGAGGATAAGTGTACACTGCAAAGCTAGTTTTGAATGCATGCATGTGTTCTGTTTGATTGGGGTATTGATAGCTTCGAATATGATGACATGACAGCCACTCGAGTACCCCGCATAGGTCTGATAGCCTATCGTCATTGGGCAACGTAATAAGTGCTCCCCTGTGACACCTCATTAATACTAAACGATGGGAGAATAGGGTCGGATGCTCAAACTAGGCCAAACATTCATGGCCTCCCATCCCGTAGACACCAAATCATCCCGGACATCAAGTGCTCTACACTGAAGTAACCGTAGTCTATTGTTGAGCATTCAAGGATATATACTGAGCATTCAATTGTACACCCCTGAGGGTTATTGACCCCAGTAAGGGTTGTGCCTTGCCTTTCTAGTAGCTCAATAGGAGTTTCTTGTTGATAGGTAACAATGATCGTCAGTCACATCAGCACTTTGCATGAGGTACACACCCCAGTGGTTGTTAATTCTTGGGATGGGCTATTCACATGTCCACCTCTTTGTGAGTCTTACCATCTTGATGTTTGTTGCTTGGTCTCGACCCTTGGAGGTTCAGGGGCGCACGTGGTAGCTGCAACTAGCCATGTGTCAACCTGTGACAGTAGGCCGCCCACATCCAGTCAACTACCTCCTAGCCTCCAATTTTTCTTTGTCATAGGACAAGTAGCACGAGGGATTGGAGGCATCTCGACACATGCCTCTATTTTAGGGGCTATTTCATGCGCATTTGCCACATTTTTTTTGAATTCCCATTAAATGCTCTTGTCTCTTCGGTAACCACTCCCACATTGATTAGTACAAATAGAAGAATGCCCCCTAGGTTTGAGACTCTTCAGAAGATCCTTTCTCTCACGTTGTTTGATTCCTCAAGTAGTTCTTTGCCAAGGCTAGACTGGACACCAAGTTCTTGTAAGTATATTCAATCTCTAACCTTCTTTGTCATCCCTCTCATCTCTTTCATCATTTTTTTCGTTTCTGATGGCTAGAACCAGTAGAGTGAATGCCCTAGGGGTCGTTGATAAACCCAGAAAGAAAGGAAAGCTTAGGAAAACCCAGGTGACTGAAGTTCTTTTAGACGAGTTCAGTTCTACTTATGACATCCCCAAGGATGTATTTACCATAGTTTTTTATCCCCAGTTTCAAAGGGAAGATATAGGATTTCCTGAGTTCATACCGGTCCATAGTAAGGTACTCATGAAGGGAGGGTCAGGTTCCCCCTTGCTCCTTTTCTTTTAAAGTTCCTTATGCAAATTAGGATTTTCCCGTGTCAGTGCTATGTGAACTTGTTTAGAATAGTAATGGGTCTAGTCTCCCTCAACTCTTGGCTCAAGATCAATTTTAGGTTAGATGAGATCCTTTTTTGCTATGATATTAAAATAACCAGCAATATTGCCTCAAAGGCTGAGACCCTTCAATGTACTTGGTGACTCACATGCCTGACTTGAATAAAAGATAGACTCAAGATCTCATCATGATCAGTGGCAGATAGAAAACATGTGATGAACCCGAGTATGAAGGTCTCTACTACCACAAGGAAATGAGAGTCTCAAGTTCGTAGGCTTCCATCGAGTCGCTCGCTCTTTTTAGGGGGATGAATTATGTATTAACCTCTTTCTTTTCATGCAGAAGAAGGGTACAAGAGGGAGGCCACTCAGCCACTGAGGTCCTCAATCACCTTTTGGGATATCCTCAAAGTCTAGAAGTATTTTGGGGAGGACAACTTTGCTCTAGCTACTCACGTGCTCTTGGGGTACAAACTAGGATATACTTACTTCTCTCAAGTCTCTAGACCTTTTGATCCCTCTATTTGGTTTGATTAGTCTTTGGGAGAAGAAGAATGAGGCGAAACCAACTTAAAAGGCGACCTTGACCGTGTCTTCAAAGCCATTCCTTCCGCTTCCTCCAAATCAAACATGTTTTGTATTCCCAGGATCATTGCCGAGAGTCTGGAGGCTATGATAGCCGCCAGGAGAACTACTACCTCCGGGCCAAGTGGCACCTCTCGAGACATCACTATCTCCCAACAATAGTAACAATAACAACAACACAATAATGACAACCATAACAACAACAATGACAACCACGTCAGCAACCGCCACCATAGCTTATGCAAACTTTGCCGCTCCAAAAACTTAATCCCCCTCAGCAAGGTCAACGCCAAGGACAGGAAGAGGACCTATCCCAAGAGTTTAGGATGAAATGTCACCGTGATTCTCAAGTTCCTCCGTCTAGTCAATTGGCCTTACTTGCGGCTACGACCCAATGACAAACTAAGCAGACTAAAAAGTGGGCCCTTTGGGAAATCACTTGCAAGGACAATGTCATGTTGATCATTGACTTTATCATCAACTCAGCCAACATCGCATTGGTATTCATCGGGGCCTTGAATTTTGAAAATGACATAGATATTCACTGAGACCACTCAAACAACTGCCTTTTTTAGGGGCTGAACTAGAATAACTTAGCGGTATGTATATCTGAACTATTTCTCTACTGGACTCCCATCATGGCTAGTTCTTTAATAGTTCTTGTGTTTTTTAGGCTATCCAACAGATGGGGGGTAATCATTGATCATTTCTAGGACTTCAAGACCATGGCCGAGGAAGCCTAATTTGAGCTCGACAAGACGGATCTCCATACTCTTCGTGTTGAAAGGACTCTGGTCGATCAGGTGAATCATATCATTGATCTCATAAATCAAAGGTCGATCTTTCTTCTGAACTAGTGAAGAGCAAGCCTTCCAAGGCTGAGACGAAGAGGAGGAGGATGAATAAAGCCAAACTAAAGGTCTTTGATACTGAGGCCAAACTACTGGAGGTAGAAGCTAACTATGCCACCCTGATCACCAATGTTGAAGGCATGGTTGAGGCTTAGGCGAACATTAAGAGTAGAGAAAACTCCATTCATCTTGAAGTGTTCAACCAATGCCAAAACTAGTTCATAAAGGCCTTTATTAACGGTCAAAATAAATCCTTCAAAAAGGTATGTGATAAGGCTTTTCAAGCCATGATGGTGAATGCCAAGTCTGAGTTGTTCCAGTGACATCCATACGTTCCCCAAATGGTATCCAATGAAGAGGATGATCCTCCTTTGTGGGACGTCCAAAAATATTCGTCATAGAGGGATAGTAAGAGGCGGCGGATGACATTGCAAGGAACCCGACACCGATAAATAAAGTCAATTCTAGTAAGTGATAAGGATTCAAGGAAAGTATAATGTCTCCTCTTCGGCTCCCCTCTCCTACACTTCCTCTTTATCCTAGGGATCATGCACTCCCTGACACTCCAAACATCAACCAAAACTTTAGGGAGTTTAAGGAAATTAAAGATATGTTTGTTGACCTCGACAGCATGAGTGGCGAGGCTGACCTGGAGGCAAGGCGATGTGGCGGTGCTCAGGGCGGAGACGACCAAGAAGGTGGTGCTGAAAATTGAACTTGTATGACCCCTGTGAGGATGTTATATTCTACTACTCTCCTTAAACTTTGTACACCTTGGGGCCTTTTCATTTTTATGTTCCCTCCCTTTCTTTTTTTTCTTTTATATCCTACAAGGGACAAAAAGTCCTTGGTTTATCAATGCAATTTCCTTTATGTTGGAATCAACTTAATAATGCGTTTTTACTGCTCAGGACCATGTTCCCCTAACCAAGCATAGAGCTTGTGTAAACTCTTTGAGTGCGGTGCTTCATGTGTGAAGGCTTAACCTTTCAAAGTTGTGCGTCTAACTACCAAGCACAAGGCTTGTGTTAATTTTTTTTTTAGTGTAGTGCTTCATGTGTGAAGGCTTACCCTCTCGGGGCCTTTCCCATGACGACCAAGCACAATTCTTGTTTTAGCTCTTTTTGAGTGTAGTGCTTCATTAGTGAAGGCTTAACCCTCTCAGGGCCATGCCCCTAACGATAAAGAATAAGGTTTATGTCAATTCTTTTTGAGTGCAGTACTTCATTAGTGAAGGCTTACCCCTCTTGGGGTCGTGCCTGTAATGACCTGGACTGAGCCTTATGTATATAACACATTTTGCTTTGTCATAAGAGATGCATTAATGATAATATATTCTCAAATTTGATCCATTCTACGGCGGGATGACATTTTTCCCTTCCATGTCTTCAAGCATGTGCCCCCCACTATGATTACCTTATAGGGTCCTTTCTAGTTGGGGCCGAGCTTCCCATTAGTTGGTTTGTGAGAGTCACCCACTACCTTACAAAGTAGTAGGTCCCTCATTTGGAAGCCTCTAGTTCGGACCTTCCTCTAGGATTGCCTGGATAGTCCTCCTTGATATCTTGTCAATTGGACGGCCACAAGCTATTTCTTTGGTTAAAGTTTTATCGTTTTCCCAGATTCAAAAGCTTGACTCTGTATTTTTGGAAGTCCAATTTCTAAGAGAATCACCGCTTCCATGCCATTGAGGTTCCGTAGGGGGTTTCCCCCATTGAGGTTCGTGGGGTAGGTTGGTACGCCCACAACACGCTAAGTAATTCTTTAGTACATTTGCCCTTTGCCCCTTCCAATCTCTTCTTGATTCCTTCTATGACGGTCTTATTTGATACCTTAGCTTGTCCATTGCTTTGCGGATATGCTGGGGTTGAGTAATAATTTTGGATGTCGAACCCTGTGCAGAACTCTTTAAAAGGGTCGTTCTTGAATTGTGTTCCATTGTCTAACATGATGGCCTGAGGAATTCCAAATCGGGTGATCATGTTTCGTTATATGAATTTCTTGGTGTCAATGTCTCATATGTGGCTCAAAGGTTCAACCTCGATCCACTTGTGAAGTAGTCTACGGCCACCAAGAGGAACTTATTATTCAATGGAGCTCTCGACAACGGACCCACTATATCCATTCCCTATTGAGAAAAGGCCTAAGGGCTTATAATCAGGCTAAGGTCCCCCGTCGGTTGCCGAATGATAGGTGCAAATTCTGGCATTTATCATATTTATGCACATACTTTTTAGCATCTTTTTACATGTACAACCATCAGTACCCTTGGGAGACAGCCTGATGCGCGAGAGATCAGCCGTCTATGTGGCTTCCATATATTCCTTCGTGGATTTCATACAATAGTGGTTGGGTTTTCTCTTCAGGGACACATAGTAGATATGGTTTTAAGAAGGATTTTCGATAAAGTTTATTATCGGGAGATGTCTAGAACCTCAAGGCCTTGAGCTTCATTTTCCTAGCCTTTTTTACGCACTCTGGACGTTCCCCAATTGACAAGTATTTGATAATAAGATCTATCTAGCTTGGGGGAACGTCTTAGGTGCTGATAGGGAGTATCTCATCGGCATTAAAGTCTACGATGCTTGGGTCTGGTAAATATTAAATTCTTATTCTCTAAGTGATCTCAAATGCTAAGGCCGAGGCTAAGCAAACTAATGCATCGGCATGAATATTATGATATCTTGAGATTTGGGACACCTTGACCTTTGTAAATTCCGCTATCATTGCCTTTACTTCTTGATGGTAGGACTTCATTTTGGCGTTATGGGCTTCAAAATCTACATTAACCTAGTTAACAACTAGTTGGGCATCGTAAAACATGTGAAGATGTTTGGTTCTGGCATCCTTTGCCATGCCAAGCCCCAAAATTAGAGTTGTATATTCTGCTTTATTGTTCGATACCTTGAACCCGAGTTGGATAACTCACTCCATCGTGGATCCTCTGGGGCTAGTGAGGACTATGCCCACTCTACCCCCTTGCATTTGATGACCCGTTGACATGTAGACTCTAGGAACCATTCAGAATAGTGGGCTTTACTAGAGGTTCCTCTGGAGTGAGGCACTCAGACGCATCAAATTCGATGATGAAGTTGACCAGCACTTTCCCTTTGTTAGATACTCAGGGTCTATATCATACCTCAAACTCCCCTAACTCAAAAGCCCATTTGGGAACTCTTCCCAAGAGGTGTACTTTTTGGAGGATAGCCTTCAATGGTCGATCAGTCTAAACCTCAATGGGATGGACTTGGAAATAGTGTCTCAACTTTCTTTCAGATGTAATTAGTTTGAGTATAACATTCTCCATCGGTAGGTACCGTGTTTCGGCATCTAGGAGGATTTTGCTCACGTAGTATACTAGCCTTTAATTGGATTCATATTCTCTTACCAGTGCTCTGCTAACCGCATACTCTAAAACCAACAAGTAGAGATATAGGGTTTTCCTTAGGTCGGGCACCGAGAGAGGGAGAAGAGATCTCAGATACATCGTAATCCCTTCAAGGACTTAATTGCACTCATCATCCCAAACGTCTTTCGTCACCTTCTTCAAACTTGAGAATAAGGACTTGCACTAATCTGAGGACTTAGAGATGAAGCAGTTGAGAGCTATTAGTATTCTAGTGAGTTTTTGGATGTCCTTGGAGTTTGCGACCTTTACGCTTGTAAAAATGCCTATATTTGATCTGGTTAGATTTTATTCCTCGACGAGTGACCAAATGACCCAGGAATTTGCTCGAACTGACATCGGATGGACATTTAGACGCATTTATCTTTAAACCATATTTCTAAGTGTCTGGAGAGCCTCTTCGAGGTATCTCAAATTATATTCCTAGAAGCGGCTCTTCATAAATATATCATCGATATAGACCTCCATTGTGACCCTGATTTGTTCTTTGAACCTCTTGTTCATGAGTCACTAATAGGTGGAACCGGTGTTCTTTAGACCAAACGACATAACCTTATAACATTAAACCCATCAGGAGGATATAAATGCCATCTTCTCCTGGTTTGGTTTGTGCAATGAGATTTAATGGTGTCCTGCTCGGGCATCCATGAAAGTCATCTGCTCATGCTCTACAGTGACATCTACCAGTTAATCAACCTTGGGTAGTCGTACTCATCTTTAGGGCATGCCTGATTAAAGTCATTAAAATCAATGCACACACGCAACTTCCCATTCTTTTTCTTAGCATAGACGATGTTAGAGAGCTATTTTGGGAACTGAGCCAACTTCTATAAGTCAGTCTACCTCTTCTTCAACTTCAATCGTTGTGCCTTTTGCTTTACAGGTTCGAATACTGGGCCCACGAGTAGTGGGTGAAAAATCACCCCAGGATCTATCCCCTTCATCTTGGTGGGCACCCAAGTAAAAATATCAACATTAAGCCAAAGGAAATTTGGCATCTTAGCTTTCTTGGTCTCGTCGAGCGATGATCTAACGAGAAAAAACCTTTAAGTATCCCCAGGATGCAGGTGAAACTTCATCAGGTCCTATATAGAACGATTGGTCGGGTCGAGCCGGGGCTCATCAACACCAAGCCAATCGAATTTTGATTTTTTTTTTGGCTATAACTATCTTGGGGGCTTGCTCTTTAGCCTTAGCATTGACCCTGACATAGAAACAACTTTTCAAAGCAGCCTAGTCGCCACAAATTTTCACTATCCCCTTTAATGTGGAAAAATTTGAGTTTATGGTGGTAGGAGGAATGTACTACCTTTATGGCATGAATCCAAGCCCTTCCCATAATAGTATTGTAGGGGGAGTTAGAATCTATCACTACAAACTCCACGGGGAGTGTGACTATCAAGGTCATGACAAGGAGGGCGATCGTCTTTAGTGGCAACACATATGTACCATTGAAGCTGAAGAGGATTTTAGTGGACTCTGACAACTCTTAAGAAGGTGTCTCATGGGGGAGGATGACTCTGGCTAAGTCAGAGTCGGTGAACATGATTGCTTCGATGTCCAATCGACCTTTTTTTAGCGGTCATTGATCTTCTCAGCATTCATTGACCCTTTTTATTCTGTGCCACCCTTTGACTCATTGAGATGGCCTTCTTGTACGAGTTTTCTCTAGAAATGATTTATACACTCAATAATCCTCAATTAGATGGCTGATATCTCGATGATAGGAACATCAAGATGTCAAATTCCTAGTGGAAGGGTACCCCTGCATTCTCGGTGGTCACTTGAAAAACGGCTTCTTCTTAATCTTATGGAGCATCTTGTAAATTGCTTTTTAAAGATCGTGTCAATCCCTTCGAAGGAAATCTTAGTTGGGGCCGGGGCAGAACCTCCCTTTTTACTCACGATTTCTCTCTCCTTCTTCTTGGCTGTTGAACCTTTTCCTTTGGTCACAATGGCCTCCCCTTCCTATGAGACCCAAGAATGCATGATAAGCATGTTAATATTAGGAATTGGGGAGGAAAATATTGTATAGATCTCGATAAAAAATTTTAGGTTTAATTTGAGAAATTAAAGGTGAGTGGTATATGAAAATATACAAAATAACTAATTTATATATATATATATATATATATATATATATATATATATATATATATATATATATATATATATATACAAATTAGTGGGCTTTCCACTAACTTGTAATGAAGGGTGTAGATTTAGTGGGGGAAATGAAGGGGGCGGCTAAGATGGGAGGAGGGAAACTAGTGGAGTCTCCATTAGATGTTTATGTAGGTAACGCATAT